TTTAATGGCACAAAAAAAAGGGGGGAACCTGATCAAATATTAGATTAGGTTGTACCTTTTTGAATTATCCAAAGACATCTGATCCTTTTCTGCTTCCCCCCTCTCCCCTTCACCTCCTCCGTCCTTTCATTTTAAGTAAAAGAACAAACATTGTTTAGCGTAATGAAATACTCGCACACATTTTCCATCATATAATATAATATAAAAAAAAGATACCTTTGCCAAAACAGACAAAACAATAACAACAACAACAACAACAACAACAAAAAGGACCAAACATCTGAATTTTATTTCAGGTAATACAAACGCATATGTTTCATTTTTTTTGTCTGCCTGTTTGTTTGTTTGATCCCCTCTTATCGGCTTTGAATCGTAGCAAACATTGCAAAAAAATTTGAGATGAATTTTTTGTAAAACTAAGAAGATGGCGGTTCGTACCGACGGGATTAGATTTTTCTGGAATCTACAAACGGTCAAGCTTAACCGTAGCAAAAATCGAACCTGAAGACACGGAGGGGATCCTTAGGGAAACATTTCACCGAACCAAGGAATGGAAAAAAAAAAAAATTCCGTTTTGGTTATGAGGAATACGTAGAGTTTTTTCGGGGGGAAGAAGGGAGGGGATTGGTGGGTGGGGGGAGGAGAGGGAATAAAGGAAAGAAAAGATTTCCTAGAACGAAATTTGCCCACCGCAAACCGACGTGACTAAACCTGATTCTCCTGATTTATGTTTTTTAACTTCATTTCACACATATTTTCAACGGTTTTTTTCTCCTCCTCCTCCTCCTCCTCGTTCGTTTTCCAGGTACTTTCGAGTACCAATAAAAATAACAAACAAACGATTCGGCTCCTATCGTACAAACAACAACAACCAACAACCAACAACGCCGCGTACACAATTTTTTTAATTTTAATTTAAACGCGTTCGTACCTGAATTTTCCTTCGTGCTCCACCCACCACCACCATTTATTTCCTTCTTCCCGCATGTTCCATATATTCAAATCCTTTCTTCTCCGTCTCCTTCAATTCTCGCACCTGTAAAAATAAACGATAATAATAATAATAATAATAATAATAATTAAAAAAAAATTTAATTAGATTTCTCGTTTGCCGTCAATGTCGCTCCATCGTCATAAAAACAAAAAAAAAAAAAAAAAAAAAGGAAATTAAACACGTAACCGGAAATTACTCTCTCTCTCTCTCTCTCTCTCTCTCTCTCTCTCTCTCTCTTTTATTTCATTGTCGTACGCCCGCGTTTTTTTTTCTTTTTCCGTCCAGTTATCCAATCCGGTTTCATCCGATAAAATAATAATAATAATAATAAAATGATTTTTATAATTTTCGACAATTGATATATCAATTATTTATAAAACTCAAACCTTAAAAACAAACCTGTTTTTCTTTTTTTTTTTTTTTTCGGATATTCAATATATCGATTATAGTTCGATGTAATTGAAAAATGACGACGATTATGATGATGATAATAATAATGATGATGATGATGATGATGAATCGTCGTTTAGTAAGATCGACATCTGCTCCGATTTTCAAACAAACAGAACAAAACGATATTTAAAAAAAAATTCCTTTTGAATTATTTATTTATTTATTTATTATTATTATTAACAATAAATAATAATAATAATAATAATAATAATAATAATAATAATAATAATAATAATAATAATAAATATTTCAAAAAATTTTTCATCGCACGAAACAAACATTCTTCGGCGACGGAAAACAAAAAAAACGTTTTTTTTTTTTTATTATTAATCATCGGTTTTTCCCCACATGAAAATATATTTTTCACACAAAACAAACAAACAAACAAACAAACAGACAGACAACAACAATAAAAAAATTAAAAATTATACAAAAAAAATTCATTTTTTGTTTTCGACGACAAACGAAAAAAAAAATTACAAATAGATCGTTCGTTCGTTCGTTCGTTCGTTTGTTTGTTTGTTTGTTCGTACGAATTTTTTTTTTTTTCATTCCTTTCCTTTTATTTTCCTAATCGAATTTTCCTTTTTTCTTCTTCTTATTATTATTATTCCGACAAAGAAATAAAGAAAAACGAGAGAGAGAAAGAGAGAGAGAGTAAATCGTCGGTGGCAGCATCAGCGAACCGGATAAAAATTTTTAACAAAAAAAAAAAAAAAATTGAAATTTTTTTCTACAAAAAGGGGTGGTCTAATATTTCATATTTTTACCACCCCCGCCTCCGCTCACGCCCCTCCCCTCCCCTCATCCGACTACTACCCTTTAAATTGTATTAAAAAAAATAAATAAAAAGAAAAGGATTAAAAAGGGATGCGATTATTATTGTAAAAGAAGAAAAAAAAATTCTTTCGGTTCTTTTAAACAGATAATGACACAATCGACTCCCCTCCCCTCCCCACCCCCACCTCCCTTTTTCTTTGTTTCTCACACACACAAAAAAAGTACCGCTGAGAAAATTATTATTATTACTACTACAACAACGACAAACGAAAATTATTAACAATTAAATAATAATTATTTAATTACATTTTTTTTTCAAGGACCGAAAAAATGGAGAAAATTTTTTTAAAAAAAAAAAAAAAAAAAGGTTCGTCGGAAAACATTTGTCGTGTCAATAGCGATTTTATACATATATGTACAGGTACACGGTAAAAAAAAAAATTAATAATAATTTTACCTTTTTTTTTTTGTTGGAAGGTTGCGAGTATAATTCATTTAAACAAATGCGCACGTCGTTTTTTGTTGTAATTTAAAAATGGCGTCGGAATTGTTGATTGTTCTTTTGTGTTTCCCCCCCCCATCCTCCCCCTCTCCTCCCCTTCCATCCCTATAATGGAAAAAAATGATTTAAAAAAAAAAAATATTTTTTAACGTCATTAATTTTTGCCATTTTTTACCTTATCAATTTTTCTAACATATCCTCTTATCACGGCTGGAAAACTTTGATGACGTCACGATCGTCGCGCCTGTACGACAACAAAACGGCGCCATGATAATAAAATAAAATAAATTAATTGTTTGTAGGTTGTTTTCAAAACAATAAAATTAAAAAAAAAAAGGGAAACCAAAAATTTTAAATTGTCATAAATACCTGAAAATTTTATATTTTATTTTATTTTGTATCCTTTTCAACTTATAATTTATGTTCTCGTTTGTTCTTTTGTTTGTTTGTTTGTTTTATGTTTAATTAGTTTTAAAAAAAGCTACCACAAAGTAACTACGACAACAACATTTTGGGTGGCTGAAATTAAAATTATTGAATGAAAAAAAATTTTTTCTTATCTGATACTAATCATCCCTTAACCGTGTGTGTGACGTCACTTACTTTTGTTTCTTCTACGTCATTTTTTTCCGTTTTTTCTCCCTTATTTACTTTGTGAACTCGATGATTGGATGAAATCGGATTGTTAGGTTGTGCCTTAAACATGGCGGAAGGCGAATGTAAAATCCAAACAAATCGTCTAGGAAAAGGAGATCTTCTGTCGCGAATATGAAACAGAAGCCGATATCCGAATAATGGGTGCTGTGTACGACCAACAACCACAACAATAACAAACAGACAAACAATATTTCGTCATGGGGCATCATTTCAAACTTAATAAAGAAAGGTTTGGAAATTGTTGAAATGCGGGGAGCAAAAGAAATCAATTCCGGTCATCTTGGGATCACTGGGGATCCATACTTTAATCCCCAAAAGGCAATTCGAATAGGATTTACAAGTGAGATGATGATAATGATAATGATGATGATGATGATGGGACAATAAAAATTAACGTAACTTTCTTTTGCAAAGTTAAACACAACAAACAAATCCGTTTGTTTAAAAATTATTATTTCCGCACTTGATAAGAAACTATTTCCCCCCCTATCCACTCCACTTCCCCACCCCCCAAGTTTCCCCTCGTGATAATTTTACAAAAACAAAAGCAATGCTCGGTCATCCCCTTAAAAAATTTAAATTTAATAAATTGGTTCAAGCATCCTCCTCTCTCTCTCTCTGTCTCTCTCTCACACTCGAAGAGAAAACAACAACAACAACAACAACAATTAGAAAACACTTTGACAGGTACGAACAAACGATTATCAAAATTTTTCTTTTTCTTTTTCTTTTCTTTTCTTTTCTTTCTCTTTTCATTCTTCTACTTCTACAAAACAAAAACCTTTTGTCTGTAACAAAAAGAATTAAGTTTTCTTTCTATTGTATTATTATTATTATTTTATTTCGTGTACCTTTTATTTCATCATCATCATCATCATCATCTTCTTCTTCCACTTGTTTGTTTGTTTTACACGTTTGACAGTTTAAATTTCTTCTATTTTATAAAAGTAAATAAATAAGTTATCGATTTTCCTTATTATTATTAATATATTTTCTTTTCCTTTTCTTTCTTCTGCTTCTTCTTCTTATATAATTAACAAACAATTTTTTTTGTCATTATCATCATTATTATCATTTACAACATAAACTTCGATTTTCTTTCTTTTTACAAATAAAAAAACTTTTTTTTTTTCTCTCCTTAAATTTGAACGCTAAAATATACATAATACATAATTTCATTTAAATAAATTCAATTTTATCTCTAATATATAATAATAATAATAATAATAATAAAATTTATATATGTGTAAAGTTTCGATGGGGTTTCGTACGGGCGTGACGTCATCATCGTCATCATCATCATCATAATCATCAACTGTAGTCGTCGGAATGATTGTCGGATGGGAAAAAACGATGGAGAGCGGATGTTAATATGAGTAATGAAGTTTGCAATCCTGCCGGAAGATGTCTCTGAAGCCAGGTTCCTTTATATTGTTCTATGTGTGCCAACAACCTTCGTGGGAAGAAAAGAAAAAAAAAAATAAAATAAAATAATAATGATGATAATTAATGATTTTTTTTTCCCTTTCGGGAAACCTGCCCATCCCCCGCCCCGCCCTCCGACTTCTTTATTTTTCCTCCTCCTCCTCCTCCTACTTCTCCTCCTCGTTTCTCTTACTTGTTTGCTATGTCCGTTCTGAACGTGAGCGGAAGATTTTCGATTCCTAAATTGATGACCGTGAGTCCCATGTTCGAATTCGGATTCACTCCGACCGTGAGCAAAGCTCTCCCGATCCTGCAAGCCGTCAGCATCAAATCCACGCTCAGTAAAATCTCTTGGATTATCATCTCGCCGAAATTGCAACTTAACTTGACCTTGAATAATTCCTTCTGACATTTCTTCAGGTATTTCGAAATTTTCTGCAAAGGATTCGACAAAATAAGTAGTTAAGCCATTACACCCGGGAAAATGGCCGGGGGGGGAGACGGGAGATGGGGTGGAAACAAACTTACGGCGAATATGTCCAGCGAGAAATGTTCGAGATTCACGTTGTCCGAATCCGTTAGTAATTTGTACAAAGCCGTTCCCTCTTGATCCGGCAACTGGCTCACGTTCAAAAGGCTCTGATTTCGCGAGCAACGCAAAACGTACGTTTCGATGTGACCCAATTCCAATATAATTTTACCTAATATCCCTGTAACGAAATGAACGATATCGTAAATTTAACCGGAAACGTTTCTGCTGACACGTTTCAATTTTTTTTTTAAATTTAATTTACCTGAGCTATCTAACAAAATGTGCGAATCCAAAAGTTCGCCCAACATTGAATTAAAATAATCCTGTTTATGAAAAAGAGAGAGAGAGAGAGAGAGAGAGAAAATATTAGATTTTGAAGTAATTAAATGAATTTCCTTTTTTTTTTTTTTTTTTTTGTAAATGGAAGAATACCAATGGCGTTTTAGGATTCCAACTTAAACCAGCCCCCACTAAAAATCCAGTGCTGGAAAACGGATGAGGTGTCAAATGGTAGGATCCGGACCAGTGAGCGACGACGATTCCGACAGCGTTTTCTTCTACCGCTGCCGTCACGGCACTGTAAATGTTACAAACGGCAGCTTCCGGACAACCGGATAAACTAAACAAACAAACAAACAAATAAATAAATTTCGAGTGCGTGGGTGGGTGTAAATCGAAATGATTTCAATTTAACATTGACTCACCTGTTCCAGCTCGCCGTACCTGGACAAAAACCCATAATTCCGCCTTGATTTTGAAACGCTTTACTCCACGTTTTGAAATCGTAATCGGCCTGTAATTGATAAGAACATTTTTTTTATTATCAAATACGTGCGTCCTCGCGCGCACTCGTTTAAATTTTTTTTTTTTTTTCGGTACCTGAAACCCGTATTCCATTAAAATAACATTTCTAGGTACGAAATTTTTTATTCCTCTAAGACTATTCGCGCAGACAATGAGAGTGGCCGACGTCGGCCACAACCTGTGAAATCCTAAATTACTACCTAAACAATAACTTTCGTTATGAATGCTTTGATTATTTATAGAATTCGAACAACTGCTCGTCGTGTCGTCCAATTCTTCCGTGATTTCTTTCGTTTGTATCAAAAGTGCCGTCAGTCTGGGTCCTATGTGAACGTACCTGAAAATCGAAAAAAAAAAAAAACTTCAATCAACCGGAAGTCGGATCGGCATATCCGTTCAAACCCCCTGCGAATTCCTTACGTTAAATTCGGGAAACACGTTAGAATTTCTTGGAATGATTGCCACATCGACTCCAATCCTTCTCCCGTGAAATTATCATCCACGTCTAATACAGGTACGAGATTGATAAATCGATCTTGAGCTTTCCTATCTATCGCAACCATTTCTCTAGAAAAGACACACACGCAAATAAAGAATAATAATCAATCATTCACGGCTGCCAACCAACTAAAAATTTATATTCACCTTTTAGAATAGCACAATTGCCATTCGTTACTCGGTAGTAACCTCGTGTAAAGATGAAGGTAATTGATTTTCAACGACGACAAAGTTTCTATTATTGAAAATAAAAATTCCAAATTCGGAATCCTTCCTCTCGGCGATATGTCGAGAAGGACTCCTCTGTGACGTAGACAACCATAATCGTGTATTAATACTGAAGGCAATACTGAATTTTCGCTTAATTTCAACATCTGAGTAAAAGTTAAAATACTGTAATGAAGTCCTCGCAAACTGTTTGCCGTAATGTGAACCTTAAACGAACAAAAAAAGCGAATCACAACTAAAAGAAAATTAAAAAAAAAAAGTATGGCCAAACGTTCGACAACGTTCTCAATCTTACCTTACTGGAATTTATGTGTATCTGATAGGTATCCGAACGTGAAAATAAATTACCGTTCACCGTGCATTCGATGGGCGAACTTGAAAATTTACCAAAACTCGGTTGAACGTCGCCTATTTTAACGGAATAACCTAGTGTGAGTAATGCAGGTACGCTTATCTCCCAAACGTCGAGAATCCTACATGATTAAGGTACGATTATATTACACGATAAGGTACGAAAACAATAATAAAAAAAAAAAACAGAATCAAAATAATAATAATAATAATACTTGTGAATCGATTCCGTTCCTTGCAAAACGGATATGTGAAGTTGTTTTTGCGGTACAAAACCAGGTTCGGAAAATTTTGTTATTTTTTGCGGTCTAGGCCATAATAAATTCAAACACGAATCCGTAAACAATTCTTGTTGACACGATGTTGATGATGATGATGATTTCAAATGAGTTCCCGATAATATTTCGATAACCTGAAAAAAAAAAAAAACGGCGATTCATTAAACAAATTTTATCAAATTTTAATATAATAATGATAATAGTAAACCTCACGTGCCTCTTCTATTTTGGGTAACATTTCCAAACTGCTCGAACGTGATACGCTAAAATTTTTTCCCATTCTCATTTTACCATCTAAACAACTCTCACTCACGTGTCTTTTCCTATTATTATTATCGTTTTGTTGTTGTTGCGGCGGCGGCGACAACGACGACGACGACTCCATTATGATGTTTTCGAAATCGTAACTGCTGTTGTACATCACGTGATTTTTCCCGGATTTAAATATTTGCAAATCGATATTTTTCACATCGATTTGATCGCTTCCATCGGAATTGTTTAACAATTTTGTAATTTCTTCCCTTTTCAAACTCTCACCATCTTCTTCCTCTTCGTTTTTTTTCAATTTTAAATTTATTAATTCTAATATATCCGGTTTGGTCTGAGCCAATTTTAATGCACTTTTACCAGCAAAATTTCTGTTGTCCATACGCACGCACATGAAAAGAAAAAATTTTTTTTTAAAAAACATTTAAATGGTGACGTTTTTAAATGAAAATTTATTTACCCACCCTTTGTGAGGCTCGATGTTAACATCAGCTCCATTGTTAATCAATTCGGAACAAACATCTTTGGCTCCCCTCGATATGGCATCGTGCAATGGAGTCGCACCACAACTGTTAACAGCATTCACACGAGCACCTCTATCTTTTTATTCAAAAAAAACAATCAATCAATCAATCAATCATTTTTTTTCCGAAATGAATTTAAATTTTCAAAAATCATTCCACCATTATGTTTTTCTCACCTATTAAAAATTTAATAACGTTTCCAGTTCCATAACAAGCAGCCCAATGCAATGGAGAATTTTTCGTTTCTTTCGTGTCGACACAATTCACATCGACACCAGCATCTAATATTTGTTTGACTCTGTTCACGCTAGAACAAAAAAAAAATCACAGGTAATAAAACTTATACATAAAATTCTAGATAAGGCCAGAAAAAGTTTATTGTATCAGATTTTTCTTGCATTGTAAAAGAATTGCAAGATAAACAACGATTACAAGTTTATTACTCTGCTTTTGTGATTACTTACTCTGATGATGCTGTCGCTCTGAGCAATTCATCGACGTAAATTTGTTTTATGGCTTCGTTGGTCACCGATTGAAATGCATTGCAAATGTTTGGATCCGCACCGCTCGACAGTAAATTTCTAACAACGTCGGCTTGATTCAACTGCGTTGCCAGGAGTAGAAACGTTCCCTCGGGAATTATTTTACTATTTAATAATCTATCTTTGGTAACTTCGCCGTTGGAAGCATTGGAATCACCTGCAACACACAAAACACATAAATAAAACAAACCCATGAAGAATAATTTTACTTAACGTTAACATTTTAAGTTCTTCAATCAAATCATTCAACTGACATTTACCAAAAATGAAAAAAAGTAACGATGGAACTCAAAAACTTACATGTGTCTAATATAGAACGAATTATATCCGTTCTACCGTGAACAATGGCCGTTTTTATATTTTCGCAAATTTCATTTAACATTTTCATGTCTGCAAAACAAAACCAAAAACAAAAAAATCAACGACCTACAAAAAAAAAAAAAAACGATACGTAAAAACCAAAAACGATTAAATAATATTTTTACCAAAGTACCTACTATAACTTCACGACGCCATGTTGTTTGAACGTATTGCCAACTTTTGGGAAAAATCACAAAAATTTTACTCGTGACCAACCCTACGTAAATCCCGCGCGTTTCTCTCGCTTTAAACCCGAATGAGAAATAATAATAATAATAATAAATAATAAAATTTGTTTTTCTTTTATGAATAAAAAAACGAATTTAAATGTTTCGGTTGTGATTCGACAATTTAAAAGAACAAACAAACAAAATTACATTTACGATTCTAAAGAAGGAAAATCCGACATTTTAAAAAAACAAAAACTTAAATCGATACAATTTCAAACGGATTAAATTTAAAAATTATCATTATTATTACCATTATCATCATTATTATTGACATTAACATCGTTTCATATACGATGAGAATAAATTTTCCAACCGTCGTCATCCCAAAAAAATTTTCTAACCGATTTCTCGCAATCGAACGATGTTTAAATCATCGATTCGAAAAATTTCGCGCCATTTTTTAAAATAATTTTCCCTCCTCCCTCATTTCCCGGAGACTTTCTTCCTTCCGGAAAATAAAATTTAATTTAGGGTAAAGTTGTAAAAACGATCCATCTCTATCTATTTTCTATTTTTCTATTTTCCCACCATTTATTTATTTATTTTATTTCCCCCCATCCATACGATCGAATCCGTATTTTTTTTTTTTTTTTTTACTCCACCGCCATCTTTAATTATTCTCACCACCGTCGATACGAGAAATGAAATAAAAAATAAAAAAAGGAAAATTTTTTTTTATTACGACGATCCATCTAAACGTTTTTGACCGTTAATAATAAAAACTTTCATTTTTTTTTTCTTTTTTTTTCTTTCTCGAGTTTCTCGCGCTCCTTTTATTATTAATAAACGTTTAGTACTTGTTTACCGGTTAAAGAAAGATAAACGTTTAAGTTTATACACACACACACACACACACACAAGCACATAATTATTATTATTATTAGTTTTTCACTACGATTTTCAGGTACGTTTTTCTATCTCTCTTTCTCTTTCTCTCTCTCTCTCTCTCTTTCTAATTTTTCTTCTTAATTAAAAAAAAAAAAAAAAAAATTTGAAAAATTTAAAAAACAAACGAAATTTTTGAATGAATTCTTGTTGTTGTTGTTGTTGTTGTAAACTCAAAGTGCAGTGCGTTTGTCTTATCACAGCATTTTAATTTTTGTTCGTGTTTAATTATTATTATTATTATTATTATTTTTAAGTACTAATTTGAATTGATAACCTATCGATCGATTAATTGATTGATTGATTTGTTTTTTTTTTTTTTTTTTTTTTTAAACTTAAAAACGCGAAATATAAGCAAGCAATGTTGTTTGTTTGTTTGTTTGTTTTTTTTTTTTTTTTTGTTTTTCATTTCGTTTGTTTTCATGGATAAACCTTTAATTATTATTATTATTATTACTATTATTATTATTATTATGATTATTATCATTTCTTAAGTAAATTATCGTAAGTTTTTAATTGTTTTTAAATTTTCTTAACGGAAACGAAATCGTTAATTTTTTTAAATTTATCATGAAAAAAAAAAAAATCGCGAAATAATAATAATAATAATAATAATAATAATAATAATAATAATAATAATAATGATAATGATAATAAATTAAATCACTGAATAAATGAATGAATGATTGATTGATTGAATGAATGAATGAATTCAAATTTTCGTTCATTACCTATTTGGAAACGTTGAAAATTTGATGAGGATCCTCTTCTTTGAGTCAACTCCATCATTTATTGTCTCCAGTCGATAAAATCCCATCCGGAAAACAACTTCCGGTTGAAAATTTTCATTTGCGTTCGTCTGGACAGAAGGGGGAAGGGGGAAGAAGGAGGCGACGGCGATGACAGCAGCAGCAAAATCATTCCAAAAAAATTTTTTTAGAAATTTCCCATTCGATTATTTCAAAACCTGAAACAAAAAATAATTCGCGTTGTTATAGCAGAAGACAAAATTTTTTCCAAGACACGATAATAATAATAGTAATAATAATAATAATGGTTAACGGAAACCATCTTGTAGTTAGGGGGCCGTTAGTTAAAATAATCAAATGACTTCCTCCCGAATTTTTTTTTTTTTTTTTTTTTGTTGACATTTTTACATTTTTCAACCGCAACACCGGTAACGTAATTCGCAAACTTCAAAAAAAATGACGACAACAACGACAAACGACAAACGCAAACCGACAAAAACAAAAAAACCGGAGGAACGGAACAAAACAAACCAACAAACAAACAAACAAACAATTTATAACAATTATAACTTGACGGGAAAATAATTCATCTCGCAAAAAAAAAAAAAAAAAAAAGAGTCAGGTGAAAAATAATAATAATAATGATAATGATAATAAGTTAAGGAAGTTAAAAATTAGGAAATTTTCCAAAAATTTAAAAAATAATAATAATAATAATAATAATAATAATAATAATAATAATAAATGGAGAAAAAATAAAAAAATAAAAAAACGTGAACGTGATTCCGTTACGTGCGTTCATTACACGATTCAAAATTACTAAAGACATAATAATAATAATGATAATAATAATAATTTTTAAATTGTTAATTTAAATTGTTGACGACTTCTTTTTTCCACCCCCCTTTGCCCCCCTTCTCTCCCCCCGCTTCAATCCGAACCCCCAAAAAAAAAAAACGGGAATGAAAATTTTTTGTTAAAATTATCTTGAAGACAGACGGATAGGCAGACGAAGAGAGAGAGAGAGAGAGAGATACAGAGAGACAGAGAGAGAGAGAGATACAGAGAGACAGAGAGAGAAAGAGAGAGAGAGAAGATACGAATAATCCTTTCGGATGCAGCGCTTTTAAAAAAAAGTCGCGGCTTCAATAACTTAATAAAATTTACGTAAGTAAAAAAAAATCCCGACCGAATTGATAACGTATCTCTGTAATTTTTTTTTTTTTTTGAATGAAATTTTTTTTTTTTATCGATTGCATAATCGTTTGACATTAAAGACCCTATAACGAACGATCGATCCAATCGATCGATCCATCGATTGATTTTTATTTATTGAAGAAAAAAAAAACAGTTTTAAAGAATTTTCATGACAAAAAAAAAAAAAAAACAAAATGTCGTATTTTCATTATTTAAATTTTAACCCCGAAAAAAAAAAAAAAAAAAAATTTAAACTTGTTTTTTTAACTTTCCCTCTTCCCCTTCCCCCTTGCCCCCCACCACGTTCATGTGAGTGCATCAGAAAGAGAGAGAGAGAGAGAGAGAGAGATTGTTTTTTTTTTTTTTTTGACAAAGAAAGTCTTTCAAATTTATTATTACACGTTAATTATTAAATTTAAAAATAATAAATGACATCATCATCATCATCATCATCACCATCGACGTCATCATCGATTATTATAAACAATAAACTAAGACAAATAATAATAATAATAATAATGATGATGATGATGATATAAAATCCGGCGGCGTTTTTACGAAAATCAATAAAAAAAAATTTTTTTTTTTTTTGTTTGTTTGGGATTCAGCGATGAGAAACAAACAAAAACAAACAAAAATGGTTGGTTGTCGGTTGTCGGTGGTGGTGATGGTGGTGGGGGTTGTTGTTGCTGTTCTGGTTGGTGGTTGTAGGCATTCGAAGGTTTTTAGGTGCGACTTAAAAGTTGTTTAATAAATCACAATTTTTTTTTTTTTTTTTTTACTTTTCCACGTCATTCCTAATAATAAATAAACTTCGGAGTGGTCCTTTTTCCTCGCTCCCCCCTCTTGTAATTATTTTCCCCTTCTTCCTCCTCTCCCCCCGACCTAACCTAACCGATCGATACAAATCAATTAAAAAATTTCACGCGAGTAATTTGAGAAAAGTGAAAATTATGGCGACTACTATGATACTTGCGTGCGTGTGATATTCATTACGCACTTGCGGTTAATTAATTTTCTTTTTCTTTCCCCCCCCCCACAATATTTCTAATGTACGTCGATACCTGGTTTTAGGCGAAATTTATAAAAAAATGATAATAATAATAATAATAATAATAATAATAATGATGATAATGATAAAAATTTTTAAATGGTTTTCTTTTGCATTATTCGACTTTCGGTCATCAACCGACTGGTTTTCCACACATTTAAAAAACGAGTAAAAATTATTATTATTATTATTATTATTATTATTATCAATAAAATTTTTGTTTGTCTCGTAAGTACTTTAAGTAAAATTTAAATTTAAATAATAATAATAATAATAAAATTGTCAGAAAGTTTGTTTTCGACGAACGACTTTAACAACTTCTTCTCTCTCACCTCCACCGATTTTTATGATCAAAATCATAAATATAAAAAAATTCATAGAGATAATTTACGCCCTCCGGGGAGTCCCCCCTGCTCCTCATCCCTTTGCCCCCCAACAAAATCAAAATCAAAAAAATTTGTAGACTTTTTTTGCGCTCGCGTTTAATAATTTTTGACTTCGGGTCATTTATAAAAAGTTTTTTAATTAAACTCTCTCTCTCTCTCTCTCTCTTTTCACTTTTCTCACTTCCACCCCCCTCACCTACCTTGTCTCTCTCTCTCTGTCTTTTTTCACATCACTCTCTCTTTTTTTTTACATTTTTTCCTCCCTCGACTCTCGATTTATTCAATACTCTCGCGTTCCTCTCCAATTTCAATTCATTCATTCATTCATTCATTCATTTATTCATTCATTCGATCGATCGATCCCTCGTGCGAGTCTTTCAACTCTCCATCCATCTCTCTTCTCTCCCCTACCCTCACCCTCAAAACAAAAAAACCTAAAATATTAAATCACGACCATCGTTGTTGTTGTTGGTAGTACCAATCGATCCTTTCGAATCATCGTCATCATCTCTCTCTCTCCCCCCTTTCTCTCTCTCTCTCTCTCTCTTTCTTTGTTATTTATAAGTAATTTCACCTAAAACATGGTTTTCCATAAAAAAATATCGACTCGTCCGGTAAGTTTACTGCTTCTTTTTCATTTTCATCAAACGTCTGACTAGATTAGGTGATGCCATTCTACCACCATTTTTTCAATCAATATAATTCCAAAATCTTATCATATTTCATCTAAAAAAGGTTACGAAAAATTTTCCGGTTGTTGTTGTTGTTGTTGCTTCGTGTGTGTTTGTTTGTTTGTGTGTGATATAAATAAATAATATATCAAATTTAGCCTCGATTTAAATATAACAAAAAAAAAAAAAAAATATATTTTTCAGGTCAAAACATGATCGGACGCAACATAAAAAAAATAATTTAAAAATTCATTTCGGCCCAGTTATTATTTATATATTGATAACTTATCAATTCTAAGTCTTGCGACCACGACGACGACAAATTCAATTATTATTATTATTATTATTTTATTTAACGTACGCCATTTTGTTTTTTTTTTTTTAAATATTTTCTCTTAATTAGTTCAATTGTCGATCGCGTTCCGTTTACTATATTAATAATAATAATAATAATAATAATAATAATAATAATAATAGTAATAATAATAATAATAATAATAATAATAATAATAATAATAACTTCTTAAGGTGCAGACAAAAAATTTTTTTTTTTTAAATTTCGCGATGCTTATTGAAATTTAACGGGAAATGACGTCATAGGGTTTTAACGAAAGGTTGCGAAACTTTATTGATGTGATCATCTTTTTATAAGATTCGATTCGATTGAAACAACAATACGAAGGTACGAAAATAAAATAAAAAAATTTAAATTTTGTGTGTGTTAGGGACAAAACCGAGAAATACGGAAAGACAGAGAACCAAAGAGAGAGAGAGAAAGGGAAAAAAAGGCATAGAAACAGAGAAAGAAAGAAAAAAACAGAGAAAGACGAAGACAGAAAAGTATAATAACAGAGCGAGAGAGAAAAAGAGAAGGACAGAAACACAGAAAAAGAGAGAGTGTGTGAGAAAGAGAGAAAGGCAGGAAAACAGAGAAAAAAGGGACAAAGAAACAGAGAGAGATAGACAAAAAGGCAGAGAAACAAATAAAGAAAGTATTAGAGAAACAGGGAAAAAGGAAGACAAAAAGGTAGAAAAATAGAGAGAGAGAGAGAGAGAAAGAGAGAGAGGGAAAAAAGCACAAAAGGAGAAACAAAGAGAGAGTGAAAGAGGGAAAAAGGCAGAGAAACAGAGAGACAGAAAAATCCAGAGAGAGAGAGAAAGAGAGAAAAATAAATTTTTAATTTTTTTTTTCTTTTTTCTTCTCATCGAATGATTTACAATAATGGCGGATAAAAGTATTGAATCCCCGACGTCGTGTTCACGACGACGCTATAACGTGTTAATTATAGCGCTATAATTAAAACGAATGAGCCGCGTTTTTAATATTAAAACTCGATAATAATCCCCGGGTGAATGTAAATGTAAAAAAAATAAGTGACTTCAATAAATATTACAAGAATTTTATCGATTTTAACTGGAACAAACACATCCGGTGAACAAGAATGAGTTGTTAGAAGTGAGAAAGAGAGAGAGAAAACCTTTTAGCAAGTCAAAAACGTATAAATAAAAAATTTATGAAATAACGACGTTAACTGTATAACATAACAACAACAACAACAAACCTACAGAAAAGAAAAATTCCACCAACAGGAAGGAAATGAGAAAACAAACGCAGTGGAAAACACACACTCCGAAGAAACGTCAAAAAGAAAAAACATTTTTTTTTAAAACTCGCGAAACGATAAAAAACAAACAAACAAACAAACGAAACGAAACAATCTCGCGTTAAATAGTTTTCGTATAAACAAACAACAATATTGATTTAATAAATTTGCAAAATTTTTTTGTTTTGAATTTTACTTCTCACTCAACGAACAACCGCGAAAACCTGGAATGAGAGAGAGAGAGAGAAAAATTGAACTTTGTTGACCTTTTTCAGATCTCATAGTTTTCTCAAATTATCACAAAACCCGTCAACGACCTCATATCATTCCAGTAAAAAAAAAAATTCGCATTGCCAACGTCGTAAAAAAAAAAAAAAAAAAACATGTTTTATTATTATCATCATTATCGTTTTTCTTCTTCTTTCCAGGCGCGTCTTCTGCTTTTCTTCCAATTTTTTTTCATTTTTATCATCCATTCTCCGTAACAATCGATTAACTATCGATTTATCGAAACTATCGATCGATTCGTTTAAAATTTTCACATGGTCTGACGTTTTCAGACATCATCGCTTCCGTTTCTCTCTTTATTCCAGAACTCTTAGTTGTTCTCATTGGACACCGGCGTGTGCGTGTGTGTGGATCTTCCTCCAAATCTTCTCAACTTGTATTAATCATCATCATCATCATCGTTACAGGTGGCAAAAGTGAGTGTCGCACGACGATCAGATCACGTCAGTTAAATAATGTTAAGGTCAATTATTTGTTTTATCATCCTCATCATTTTTACATCGTCGAATGGGAAAAACGTCGAAAACGTCGTCGTCGACGACGACGATGGCGATGGCAACATGAACGACTTGGAAGATTCAAAACCGCCACATATAATATTCATAATGGCTGACGATTTGGTAACTTTTGAACATTTTCTTCTTCTTCTTCTTCTTCCTCAAAAGTCCACGAGAAAGAAAATTTTTTTTTTGTCTTTCTTCAAGGGTTGGAACGATGTTGGTTATCACGGATCGGATGAGATACCCACTCCGAATATCGACGCCCTTGCCTACAACGGAATAATTCTCAACAGGTATTACGTTTTACCCGTGTGCACACCGTCGAGAAGCGCTCTCATGACCGGAAGACATCCAATACACAACGGTGAGTTTATTTATCATCATCATCATCGTTTTAACTTCTTCACTCATCGCTACCATTTCCCCCCCCCCAGGTATGCAACATAGAGTGCTCTTCGGTGTCGAAACGAGAGGATTACCACTCACCGAAAAACTCCTACCGGAATATTTGCAAAAATTGGGATATTCAACTCACATCGTCGGCAAATGGCATTTGGGATTTTACAAAAAGGAATACACTCCCCTGTACAGAGGATTCGAATCCCACATCGGATTTTGGACGGGTCATCAGGATTACTACGATCACACGGCAGAAGAAGAAGTAATTGCTTCCATCACTTCGCGCACGTTTTTAAAACTAGAATTAAAACTAAACGCGTCGACATTTCCTTTCAGAGACTTTGGGGTTTGGATATGAGACACGGTATGAAACCCGCTTGGTACCTACACGGCGAGTACTCCACTCACGTATACACGAGAGAATCTGTTAAAATAATCAAAAATTACAATTCGACGAAACCTTTATTCCTATACGTCGCACACGCTGCCGTGCACAGCGGAAATAAATACAATCCACTTCCGGCTCCGGATAAAACCGTTGACAAACTCGATCACATTCAAAATTACAACAGGAGACGATACGCCGGTAAGGAAAAACTTCTGTCTGGTATTCCTGCTTCTCCTCCTCTTCTTCCTCCTTCTTTCATCGTTAATCGAATTGTCTATAATCCTCCAGCTATGGTCAGCGAGTTGGACACGTCCGTCGGCAACATAATATCCGCTTTGAAAGATGCCAATATGTTATCCAATTCCATTGTCATATTCAGCACGGACAATGGCGGTCCCGCAAACGGTTTAAATTATAATTACGCTTCCAATTGGCCCATGAGAGGAGTTAAAAATACACTTTGGGAGGGTGGTGTCAGAGGAGTCGGCGTCGTGTGGAGCTCCAAATTCAAACCGAATTCCGGCGGAAGAGTAAGTAATCGAATGATGCACATTTGCGATTGGTTACCCACTCTATATGCTGCTGCCGGAGGTGACGTCAGAGATTTAGGCGAGAATTTGGACGGTTACAATATGTGGAACTCATTGCTCGATGACCTTCCCTCGCCGAGAAACGAAATCCTTCACAACATTGACGACATTTTTGGAAATTCCGCTCTGACAATGTCGCAATGGAAATTGGTCAAAGGTGAGATCGTTTAACAAAAAAATTATTTTTAAACCTGAGGAAAAAAAAGGTTTCATTCCTTCTCTGTCTTTAGGTACGACGTACAACGGTTTCTACGACAGTTGGTTCGGACCCACGGGACGTAATCCCGGTTATTTTTACAACATCGGACAAGTTTTGTCGTCTTTGTCGAACAAAGCGTTGTCGACGTTACAAACCGTTCCGTTGAATCCGGAATCGATACGACGAATAAGAGAAGAAGCAACCATCGATTGCGGCAATCACCAATTGATATCATCCGAATCCAGGTTTTCAAATTGTAATCCGTTAAAAGAATCCTGTTTGTTCAACGTCGACGAGGATCCTTGCGAAATCGATAACGTCGCCAAAAGGTAAAAAAATTTTTTCTTTTTTGGAAATTCATTCCCCGTCCTTACGACGATCTCTCTTACGTATTTTAAATGATTTCAGTTTTCCACAAGTCGTCAAAGAAATGGAGGAAAGATTATTGTACTGGAATAGCACGGCGGTAAAACCTGCCAAAGTTATAAACGATCTACGTGGAAATCCAAAATTTTGGGGATACGTTTGGACAAATTTCGGGGATTACAACTCTTAGCCTCTTTGATTTCCAAAAAAAAAAAAAAAAACAAATTTACCAGGATCTCGATTCTTTTCCCGTTTTCCGACCCTCCCCCCGCCCCCCGGTACGCTTGTACGAGTTAACTAAGGATGCCAACCGACAAAAAAAAAAAAAAAAATTCAAACAAATCGCTTCGAATTGCAAACTACTTAACCGTGAGCGTTTGTGAAAAAATCTAATTGAAAAAAACCAGGCGTTTCCCGCCGATCGCGTCGATTTCGAACTTTTTTTTCATTTCTCCCCACTCCCCAAAGAACGTGAATGACTGATTGATTGTTGTTTTATTATTATTATTATTATTATTATTATTATTATTACTACTATTAATTAATTAACTTATTTATTTATTTTACAATAATAATAAAAACTATTTATAAAAAAATAATCATCCGATAATCAATTTCAAAAAAAAAAAAATTGTATAAAAATCGGGTAGTTCTCTCTATTCCCCCTTCCCACCTCCCTCCCTTCCGTTCAGGAAATCGAACAAATCGAACAAGTTATTATTATTATAACACGCAGTCAAAGAAAACACGGAAAAACGAATCGACGACGAAGAAGAAAAACAACAAGGAAAATATGCGCGTGTCAAATCCGGTTCGCGTACAAACCTGAAATTTTTTTTGTAAAATGGCGGCGACGACGACGACGATCGTATATTAAATTCGTTTGGTTCAATTTGATTTTATTAACAAGACGACACCTTCTTTTTTTGTGTGAATTTGAAAGTGAGTGAACTTTCGAGACTTTTGCCATATTACGACAAAAAGTCGTCGTCGTCGTTGTCGGTCGTATCGATTCCAGGAACGAACTCCTATTAAATTCAGGGACAAACACCTGAAGAAACGTCGTCATATACAAACGTCGTGATGAATTTTTAATTTTAATAATAATGATAATAATAATAATTTTCATTGTTTTTTTCTCTCTCGAATCTCCCCCCCTCCGCGTTTTATTGTGTTTAAACTGTAACAAAACAAACAACAACCACACACACACCCAAAATTCTTATAAGAATTAAATAACGATTGAACGTAATTAATAATAATAATAATAATAATATTAATAATAATAATAATAATAATATGTGTTGACGTTTGTTTGTTTGTTTGTCCTCGTTTGTCTTTGTTTGTAATTAAAAAAAAAAAAATCATATGGTTTTAATTAAAAAAAAAAAAAAAAACATTTTGTAACGGATTTTTTTTTTGTCGAATCCCATCAAATATTATTATTATTATTATTATTAATTTTTAACTTTTGCATTTTTTTTTTTTTTGTTAAACAAATCTCGAAGAATCAACGAACGTTCGAACAAACGCGACATTTGCCAAACGACGACAATTTTAACAATCAGTGGAAAACGTGGAAAAAGAAAAAAATGTCGAACGAGGATTCAAGAGGGATCTTAGAAAAAAAAATGATTTTAATCGTCATCATTCATTCATTCATGAGGGCGTCGGCCACGCTACTCATCATCGAATTCGTAACCCTTATAAACAACCGACAACCGACGACGACAACAACAGCAGCAGAAGATATTTATTAAATACGATTCACTACTCGACGTGCGATCTAATGCTGCGGGTCACGCTCATCGGCACATGACGCCCTCATGTACAAAACAACCAACCAACCAACCAACCCCCCTTTTCTCATCCCGAAATGGAAAATTTTTTTTCCCAATTGATTAACCATCATTCTTTTTTGCATTCGTTCCTCCATGACCTCTTAACCTTTCATTTCCGTTTCATTTTTCTCATAACGGGGATACGAATCTCATTTATACGATACGAACAACCGTCCATCCGTACATATTCATCGAATTTAAAACGAATCGAATCGTCGTTTTTGAAAACAAACGAAAATTTGTCGTGGTTATAGACAACAACAACAACAACAACAACCCAACGCGTTTGTTTATAAAAAAAATATTAAATAATAATAATTACCGACTTACATTTTCGCGTTCTCCTCCTTCCTCCTTCTCTCATCAATAAATTTTTTAATAAAATATCTCCAAAGAATTTTTTTTTGTCTTCTTCTTACACGTGGCAGATTGTTTTAAGAAACAACAGTGTCAATAGAAGTTGACATTGAAGACGATCGCCTGGAAAGAAAAGGAAGAAAAATAAAATTATTATTATTATTATTATTACGTCAAAACAAACGTCGTGTTTTTCTCCAAAATGCGTCACGAAAACAATTTACGTAAATAAATAAATAATAATAATAATAAATACGCAATAAGACTCTTAACGTTTTCCAGCAAAACCTTTTCCCCCTCCCATTTTTCCCCTTTTAATAATAATAACAATAATTCAAGTGCGTTTTTACGTTCACAATCCAGGTTTGAAACCTGGAGAGGAAAACAAACAAACAAACAAACAAACAAATTTTCCACTTGTCCATGACTTTTCCTTTTCGTCTAAAAGATTTTTTTTTTTTTTATAATTAAAGCATTATAAAAAAGGAAAAAGACCTTGAACGCCGCCGTCGCCGACAATGGAAGGAAAACCGTTTATCAAATTCTTTTTTTTTTTTTTTTTTGCTAAAAATTTTGGAGAGGGAAAAACCCGGACTTCCGCGTCATGAAGATGGCAAAGAAGGCAAAGAAGGCAAGGAGGCACCACAAAAAACAAAAATCTAATCACTCCGTTTAAAATGTCATCGTCGACAACGACGACGACAAGTGCGTAGATAGGCGCACACACACGCACACATCATCGTACGCACGTATTCACGCACGCACGCACTCACGCAATACAAAATCATGCATGCGTGGAAACAATCGATCGTGCGGGCAAGGTGAACTAGGTACTACTACAACTACTACTACTAGATAACTACTACTAGAACACAAAAAAACTTCCTCACAAAGTTCCTTCGTTATATTTTTTTGCTTTAAAAACGTTCGTTCGTTCGCTCGCTCGTTCGAAAACCGTTCGGGTACGCATTTTTTCATTCATGCTCAAAACTGCGTACCCGCCATTACGCAAAAAAAAAAAAAATTCTCGACTATATAAGACGCGCAATATCTCGAACGAGTTTGATAACAAAATGTCGTCGTTACGGTCGGTCAATAATTTTTTTTTTTTTAACTTTTAAACAATAAAGAATGAATGCGAATAAAACGAACGAACGAGTGCGTGAGTGAGTGCGTGGGTGGGTGAGAATATATACTATACGACTACAACCGATGGAAACGAGAGAGAAGGGAAAAAAAAAGTAATAAAAATGGTTGTAATAAAATAAAAAGGAATATTTATGATTAAAAAAAAAAAAAACGCAACAACAACAACAACAACAACAACAACAATAACAACAACATGTCTGATAATAATCCAAAACGAAAAGTTAATTAGTTAAGAACAACAACAACAAACAATTCCTTATTAAATTTTATTATTAATATTTGAACCGAGAAACAATATTACCATTTAACTAATCGTACCTGATAACAACAAACAACAACAACAACAAAAGGATACCTATCGTTTATATTTAAATTCTATTTTCTTTTCTTTGTTTACCATCCGTTTCAATATGGCCGACGATGAGTACATACCGAAAATTTTGAAAAGTGATTGATTCTTTCACGACAGACAACAACCTAATATTTACGTTTGTTATACAACCAAAACCGTCACCTTCAATAGTGAAAGAGAGAGAGAGAAAGAGAGAATGGAAAAAAACAATTCGTTTTCAATTTGTCTTTCCACTTCTTATCCATCTTCTCATTATCCGAACAACAACAACCGCTCGACAGACAACAACAACCGCTCGACAGACAACAACAACCGCTCGACAGACAACAACAACCGCTCGACAAACAACAACAACCATCACGACGAAAATCGTTTGTTACAAATCGTTTAAACAAAGCCTGAAAATTGTCAATTATTCATTTCAATTAATCCATCGATAAAAATCCAATAATAATAATAATAATATCAAAACGATTTTACGATCGTTTTCGATCTATCGAACGAACGATCGATCGATCTATCGATCGATAGATCGATTCGCTTTTACGTACGTGCGTACGCGTTAAAAGAGAAGAAGAAAAAAAAAACAATCGTCAATCGTAAATTACGCGCGTGGAAAAATTGACGATAAAAAAGTTTTTTTTTTTTTTTTTTTTTCTAAGGAGCTACTACATCATAACCAGGTCTAAAGGTAGTAATAATAATAATAATAATAATAATGATGATGATGATGATGATGATGATGATAATAATAATAATGATATTTACAAACAAAACGTTTTTATCATTTCAATTATTAATTAACGCGAAATCAATTACCCGAGTTTTATTACCTATAAACAATCGATTCGAAGCTCGTGTAATTTTTTTTTTTCTTTTTTTTCTTTTACTGGCGAACGAAATAATAATAATGATAATGATAATGATAATAGGAGAGGATAAGGGAAATTAGAAGTGCGGTAAAATCCGACAACACAAAAAAAAAAAAAAATAGAAACGTAATTCATTCAAGGTGATTAGTGTTAGAAGAAGAAGAAGGAGAAAAACAGGAGGAGGAAAAGTTTGAGTGAACCGAGGGAGAGAAGGAGGGGGGTGGGAGAACATTAAAACTTTTTATTATTATTATTTTGGGTTAGGTGGTACCTGCAAATGACTGGCAAAGGACGATATAGAACGAAGGGCCGGCCAAACAAACGAAAAAAAAAAAAAAAAAAAACGGTAAGAAAATAAACGTACGAGAATCTCCTTGAATAAAACGTGTTTGAATGGGGAATAATCACGGTCAAAGCCGATTGAAAAATGAGTAATTTGACCTTGAAAATCAGGTTTTTTTTTTTTTTTTCGTTGTTGTTGTTGTTGTTGTGAGGAGTGTGAGACGTGAGGAAGGAGTTCGTGACCGTCCGGGGCTCCCTTTGTTCTTTGCATTCTGGTGATGGAGATGGTGATGGCGATGGAGATGGAGATGGCGATGATGATGGTGGTGGTGATGGT